TTGAGCTTCTTCAATTGCAGGTTCAAATTCCGAAACAAAGCCAATAGGAGGTGGAAGAATCTCTGGAACTGCATCCAACGAAATGAGATCAGGTACCACATCAACCAACGATTGCGGTGGTAAAGGAGATGACGCTGGAGTTGTCCGTGGTGTCAGGATTCGCCATATCTCTTCCGCCCTCCTCAGGTACGACAGCAGCCAAGGCTGGGGAAGAAGAACAAAAGGAAACACCCAAGGAGACATGCAATCATGCAGGAAAGCTTCCTTTTATTATTCAGTAAAGTCTTACTAGGTTTGAAGGTCGTCATGCGAGGTATGCGTGATCTAATAGTTGCAAATCCATCGTGAATTTCGTTAACAGTAGTTTCACGCACCACCACAGGTCCAAGAGATAGATCTTTCATTTCAATTTCTTCAATGTTCTGTTTGGATTTAGTTGAGGTCTTACGTTGACAAAGATTTGGACAATACTGTTAGTAATTAAGGGTTGGTTAAAAGACAAAATCATGCAACAAGGTGTTTAAAGGTAACAAGGATGCGTAAAAAGGGCAGAAGTACCTTTTTTCTCAAACACCAGGCCATCCACCCAGCAGCCAAACCAAAAACCGTCACGCCAAGACCACTAATCAGCCCAACGGCCCAATTAGAAAATACTTCGGTAGCAAACTCCGCGCCCAAGACCGCTTTTCCTTCCACTACCGTTAGAGTGATGTTGGCATGATCCCCAGAGTGAATTCGGGTTTCCGGAAGATTTTTTAACACCAAAACTATGATGGAAGGCTTGGTCGTCACTAGAAAGCAACGTATTTTTGTTTAAAAATCTTGTTGGAACTTCTAATGGAAGCTCTTACTAGAAGCAGGCATAGTCTGTTTTGTCATTTTAGTCATGAACGTCGTCAAGATACGGACTCCAACAGACGAAGCTGTAATAGGGCCCTGTGTGACCACGGTGTCCCCAGAAGTAACGACAGATGTTGCCTCCGTCATAAAAGAAGTGAGAGAAGCCGCCGTCGTTGAAGTCACCGGCTCCGTCGATGTAACGGGAAACATCGTTGACGAACTCGGAGCATGCGTTGGCAGTGATGAAGAAGATGGTAATCCCACCGTAATCTGCCCGGTCATGCAAAGGTCCACCGGATCGACCAACGAAGCACAAAAAACCCCCTCACAGCGAGTCGGAGCCAACAGTTCAACTTTCTGCATAAACCACAACAAGATGAAATACAGCTCAAAAACCTGTTCTCATCCACCAACCGTTATGCCGAA